GTAAACTAAATATTTTAACTACTGTGGTGGGGATATAATCCTTTCTAATGTGTTTTATGTTCCTAGGAATCAGTTTTTTATTGAATGAAGTTGTTGATGTTTTCACTGGACATTTTTTAACTTAGTTCCATGATTTTGTAACTAAAGTAGTACTTCAAGAACCTCGGGTTTCCTAGATCTTTACGTGATATTTGTTTCCATCTTATTATAATTATTTTATTTTTCTTCTCTAGAAAAAGATCATGATCATGATCTGTGTGGTAATTCTGGTGATTATCCTTGTGTCGACGTTAGGTGGATATCTGGGCATGTGAAAGCAAACCGCCAGACCTCCCCGCTACTCCAGGAGCCGAGTTTAATCTCCGTATGCAGTGTTCCCATGGTTTATCAGTCAAGTTCCAAATTTTTTGACTCGGGTGTAACTTGTTTTTTCTACTTAAAAATTTTAAGTGTATTAAACTTTTACCTATGGTTTTATTACAGAGGATAAAAAAAGAAATTTGGATAAGTCGATACTATGATCTCTTTTTCTTTTTTTTGTTTCATGAGATATTTACGGATCAGCATACCATTTGAACGTCACCATACTAACAGTCGAGTGAAACTTGGGCGTAAAAGATCTTAATTCAGATGAGCAAGTTAGATAAATAAATATTGACTAATTTTACTTAAAACCCACACCAGTTTAAAACTGATAGTCATTTACATTATTTTTATTCTTTGTTGCATTGGTAATTGAAAGTTTAACACACCGAGCAGCATCTCGTAAAAAATACTCATCGAACTGTGATTTACTATATGAAAATATATATTACTCTTAACTTGTGGATCTGGAAAATGTAAAAAAAAATATTTTAAAGTTTTGGCAATATAACACTGAAGATGTTTGGACGATGTTCCATTATTTTCATTTTGTGTTAATGTGTGACTTCCACATCAGCTGGTAAATAAATATAAAAATTGAAAAAAGTAAAAAAATCTTGTTATACTGCTCTATTGTTATGTTATGTTTTTATCACAGAAAGTATTGATGAACTATGAAGTTTACTGTTCCACTGCTGTGTAATATTAGATTAATTTCACCATGCTTCAACACCATTGGTTGAAAGAGCTCCTGAATTTGATTGATTATGTCAAAGTGAATTTAATATTTTAACTGAAGTTACTGTGACGAGTAAGTGGAAAGTACTGATATGCTATGCTACGTTTTAAAGATTCGTGGATGGTAACTTTACGTCATGTACGATACCGAAGGCATTGAATTGCGTATTATGTCATAAAATGTAAATAACTGTATGTGATTATTCTAATTCACCGTGCACCACGGCACTTGTTTAAAAACAGGCAATAAGAATATACTACACAGAACTGCACAAACCACCAATGTTTTTTTAGAATAACGTAGTTTCATAGATACATAATATTTGATAAGATGGCAATAAGTACAAGCATAGCTTATAGATGCGTATTTCATCAATAGAACATTAGTTGTATGTTGTTAACACAAACAAATAATGTCACCTGTAAAAAAAAAAGAAAAACTAGTGTTGAGAAAACTAGTTTATTGATATTCATAGGACATATTAGTTTTGGTATACAATTATTTGTATATACAGTAATTTTAGCTCCATAAATATATCACAGTGTTGAATACATTTTCAAATTTTTTGCACAGAGATATGTCTTTGATGGTTTTCTTATATGCACCCATAGTTTTTTCCGCTGTTTAGCCAGCGTACGTTTAGTGAAATTGAAAGTATGTAATTTAGTATGTGCTAATTATTTCTGATACTTTACTGCGTTTAAACAAAAGTTTTACAATTTTGAATACTTGTTTTGTACGTATCATAGAAATTTAATCCTAGGAATTAGAGTATAAAAAATATCATTAATACATCAAGCAGAAAAATGACATTTTGTAATAAATATTTGAAGGACAATAATACCAACAAACATACTTAATTACAGAAATTTTGGTTGTTTTAAAAAATATTTCACTTAAATGCTGTTATTTCTTCTTTTTTTTTTTTTTAGTAGTTAAAATATTGTGAATTAACATTTTAAGAGTGAATGCTTATGTTGAAATTTGAAACAATTCCATAATCTCTGTAATTAAAGATGATTTTGTCATTACTGTGATTCTAATACTTATTATCATTAATTCTTTCAATAGGGAAAATAAAATATAAAGTAATTTGTGTGTAGGTTAGGTCTAATCCAGTAAATGTCACTTGAACTAATCTTTACAACAGTTTGGGCCATTTTTGATAATATTAAGCAGTGACGAGGTTGATTAAAAGAAAAAAAAAATCTTTCCACATTGTTGCATGTAACAAGGTTATTTTAAGATATGATTTTTTTTAAATAAATATATCATAATACTGCATGTCTTTAAACATTATGATAATAATAAAATACTCCGAACTGGCTTGGAGGATTTTTTTCTTTGCATAAAATTATGCAACGGGTTTTTTGAAGTTTTAGCATGTACTTTTAAATTATTCGTGTGTAAAATATACATAACTACCTGGTGGGTATTTATATTTTTACTTGACCTGTTATTATTATTTTCTAACATTGGGCATGCGGATAATGTCTCTGCGATTTCCTAAACTGATAGAAGTACTCCATTCTAAGTTAACCCTCTTACCACGGGTATGTCAAATTATGCCTGCCACAACCTTTTACAGTGTTACATTCAAAATTTGATTAAACTACTTTATTATCAATGTATACAAATAAACTTAGCATTAAAATAAGTCAAATTTTAAAAGGAAATATTTAAATAAATCCTCAATCTCCCCTTTTAAAACTGTGACATTTGTTCGCATCATCTTTTATTTTTCTAGGTGTAAACTTGTAAATAGGTGCTTTTCCTGTTGTTTTTTTTCTAGGTTTTGTTATGGTGTGGGCTCGTTTTATTCTTTACCTTCACGATGGCAATGTAATTTTGATTTATTAAACACTGATAATCATTCTTATACTTTTTACCTAACTTGTAGTCCATCATGGTCTGCAACTTAGTACATGTGTTTATAGAAAAAAAAAGTTTTTTTATGTAATCTTTTGAATTTAGTGAGTTTAACCCTACGATTATTTTTTGTTATAAGAAACTGATTTAAAAATTTATTATATAATAAGATTAGTTTTACACAATTTCTTAAAAAGCAATTGTAGGAGGCTGTTTCCTGTTTCATATGTAAGAATAATTAGGTTATAAGTAGCTATCGGAAAACTCAGTGGTTCTAGAAGAGTTGGTCATTAGAGGACACACGAGGTGTACTATGAGACATACTCAAAGTAAATACTAAAGTCCTCCAAAAGAGACTCATATTTATTTTTGTTATTTCAGTCGTATGTAAAAATTTAGTCTGAAACATTAGAACATTAATTAAAAAATAGTTTGCATTTGTAATGTTTACATTAAAGTACAGGTATGTGTAATGTTGAGATTGTTTTTTAACATCATAATAAGCTGACACCTCTTCCTAGTTCATAATTTCCACACCACTTTTGATGCGAAATATGTGCCCTGCTAATCTTTAACTCTGAAACGACAATTTCATATATATATATATATCAAAGTTTATGAAAGTTGTGAAGTTAAAACACAGCAGCGATTGGTCAAACAATTACAAGGGTGTGCAATGATTGGTTTTTTAGGTGCATCCTAATACTACTACCAGTATTGTAAGTTCTTCCATTTTCATGAATCATATATAGGTCAACTTCATTTATGTATAGAGTGATACTTTTTGTTTTTTTCAACCAAATTTCTAAAAAAAAAAAAACATGATCAAAATCGTATGAAGGGATCTCCAAAGTATTGTAATGTTTAAGGCCCTTATATTTACACGTGCTTAAGAAGGCGTCAAGTTAAAGTAGGATAGTAAAATGGTGATTTTTACACAGTTGTTGTCAAGATCAAGGGGGGTCGTTAGCAAAATCAATATATTTTTCATGCGGCAAATCTTATAATCTAAGTAGCATTTTTGAATAAAAGCGAGAGCTACGCCAATAATAATAAGTTTACTTTTTGAATTTTTGGTTGCATAAAAAATATCTTTTATCTTAGTCTTTACAGTCTCGGTCTCACCCACCCGGTCTTGACTACATCTCTGTTTAAACAAATGAAATTTCCTAAAAATTCTTAACTTTTGTTATTACAAAGGTTTTAAAGCATTATTGTAACATTAAAAGATATCTTGGAAATCAAATAAGTGTCATACAAGAAAATTTAGATCAACTTTGTGAACATCCGAATATAATTATTTACTATTTGTTATATTAGGTACTAATTAGTTAATGTCATGGTTAGTAGTCTTATTATTAACTAGTTACTTAGTTTTTTTTATAAAGACCTAAGTCTAATTATTAATTAGTTACTCATTTTTATGCTTTTATAATTAGGCTTAACAAAATAAAATTTTGGACTAACTGACCTAAATCTAATTATTAATTGGTGACTAATTTTTAATGCTTTTATAATTAGGCTTAACAAAATAAAATTTTGGGCTAACTCCACAATGTATTTATTGGATGCATTTATGAGCTCTTTGTCAGGCAAGAAACAATTTGGATTTCTAAAATCTATATTGTCAAAATTCACAATAAAAATGTAAAAAAATCTGACCTAAATATTACTCAATTTGTATTTATTCATTAACTTGAGAAATTGTCAAACTGTCATACACCTGTAGAAGAGCCTACAAGTGAAAATGTGTAAGCTTGCATTTAATAAAATACACTGAGAAGTTAGCTCAAAATTGTATTAAGTTTTTTCTCACAATTAAAAAATAACTTAAAATTTATGATAATTATTAATGCACCACAACATTATCATAAGTACTTAGATCATGATATAAAACTACACTAAAAACAGGCTTAGGTTTTGTTACTTCAGAATATAGCTCCTGTTATCATTTGGTAAACAAATCTTCTGGAAGTCTTAGTAGTTAAGTAATTATTAAGATGTTTTTTCTGTAGGTGAATTCTTGTTCAATTAGCCAAACCTATATTAACTTTAATAAAACATCATAATAATTATCAAGCCTTTTGGGTAAGATTACAAAATAAACAGAGTTTACATCAGAATTTTGCATATATCATCATGATGATGTGATTTTTTTTGCCGATGATGATTTTTTCTATTTTTTAACATTTGAATAAGATAAAAAAATATTTGACAACTATTGACATTCTTTCATTACTTGAACAACCATGTGTTCATTCAGGTATTTATACTTGTCATAACTATGTACGTATAAGAGTGTTTGACCTTCTTATTTCTTACCGTTATTACCATCTATCAGTGTGAATACGAATTGACCTTCTTATTCCTTACCATCTATCAGTGTGAATATGATTGACCTTCTTATTTCTTACCAGTTATTACCATCTATCAGTGTGAATATGAGTAATTGACCTTCTTATTTCTTACCGTTATTACCATCTATCAGTGTGAATATGAGTAATTGACCTTCTTATTTCTTACTGTTATTACCATCTATCAGTGTGGATACGATAGTAATAACAAGGTCAATTACTCATATTCACACTGATAGACGGTAAGGAATAAGAAGGTCAATCACTCGTATCCACACTGATAGATAGTAATAACGTCAAGGAATAAGAAGGTCAATCACTCATATTCACACTGATAGATAGTAATAACGTCAAGGAATAAGAAGGTCAATCACTCATATTCACACTGATAGATAGTAATAACGTCAAGGAATAAGAAGGTCAATCACTCATATTCACACTGATAGATAGTAATAACGTTAAGGAATAAGAAGGTCAATCGTATTCACACTGACAGACGGTAAGGAATAAGAAGGTCAATTCTATCAGTGTGAATACGAGTGTTTGATCTTCTTGTTCCTTTAGTCAGCCAACTTGACGATCATTTTTCATTAACCAGAAAGTTCCCGATTAAACCTATTTGTTTGGGTAAAACTTAAGAATACATAAAAATGGTTAGTCACAAGGATAAAAAAAAAAAAGGACAACATGTCCAATTTAAGCCAAACAACCTTAATCACTGTCAATGAAAAGTTTCAAAACAAAATGCTGACCAGATTTTCCTCTTAGCCACTTTGTGTATTTTCAGATTTTATTACAGTATAGCTCCACCTCTTACAAAGTTGACTTATAAGGACCTTGGCAATAATCTTAATTGACTACTTGAAGTAGTCACCATTCTTTTAAAATTCACTTTTTATTTTTCACGTTATTCTTTATTTTTGAATGTTTGTGCATATGTTTAAAATGTCAAGTGTAATTGTCCTTGAAGGTAGAACATGTACGTGCTTGTCTATAGAACACTGAACATTACTTCTTGAGAATTATATCCTAGTAAACGTATATAGTTCTACAGAATTAGGTTTTCTGACAATTGCATATTTACTTGTAAATAATTTTATGAAAATAGCACTTTTAATATACGTACGTAGTTCTGTAGAATCATTAATGCTATAATGTGCACTTCATTCTATCATGTTAGACGAAGCTGAACTGTAATTAACTTTATAAACAAACTAATGTTGTGCAAAATTAAGTGAATTTGTTTTCCTCAGTAATAAAAAAATTAACTCATTTCCTACATAAAATATTTTAAATTTCAAAGTCAGTGAAACTGACCTCATTGGCAAACCTAACTTTTTGGAATATTTCTTATTGTGATGTTTTTTTTATGATACCTATATAGCACCTACAGGTTAGCAGCGTAAACTGTATGGTTGAAATATTAATTTGATAATCTTGGGTGTATAAAATGAAGTAAAATGCTAAGTTTTTTTTGTCCTTGTTCAAAGTGTAGATACATCTTTTGCCAATTTTTTTTTCCCCGATTTATTTAAAATAATTTACTTTAAAGTTGGGTAAAATGATAAACTAGAAACACTTTACGAAAATGTTTCTTAATATACAAGTTTTTGGAAACTTTCCCAAGACTGACCGATGTATTTCAGTCATTAAAATGTTTACTATCAAAAAAACCAAAGTATTTAAATTGTGTAGTATTCTATATGAAGATAACAGCAACGCCAAACTTCCAGAGTTCTTGAGATTTTGTTTTTACTTATAAAAACTGTAAAAGATGCAAATTTGATAGGCTAAAACTTGTCGTATTAATAGTATCAGAAATGGAAAGCAACACAGTTGTTTTAAATACTCTCAACTACCTGATGTCACAGACCACAGAATGTAATATTCATAAGTGTATCTAAAATTTGGAAGTTATTCAAAACGAAATAAAACTTATCTGATCATAGTTTGTTGAAAATTGTATTTTTATTGACTTCAGTGAAATAACTACTACAAAGTTAAGTAAAATATTAAATCTGTTCGAGGAAACTGTGAGAAGCAGATTTAATCAATAATGAAAACACTATGAACTTATCACATACCAAAATCATTGTATACTGTGGTTATCATAAGGTAAATACTTCAAGGTTTATTTTATTGATATAACTAAAGTTCTGATTAAACATTGTGCTAGGTAACAACAACACGGTTTTGTTCAACAGAAGAAATGCTACAAGATTATTTTATAGCTGATCTGTATGCTACTTTGCAGCAAGACCATGGGCACACAAAAAGGTGATTTTTTACAAAAAAGGATCTAATTTAAAAGAATTTTAATGGCTTCTGTACAAACGACAAAGCAATGCATGCAACTTTTTTCAATTAGTAGTTTGACAAAATTTAGATACATTCTTTCAAAGATTACATAATCTAGAACAGATTCAATCTTCATAAGTCATCATCATCATCATCAGGCAAAGAAGTATTCTGAGCCTCCTGAAAAACAAAACATTTCTGTCAACATTCTATTTCTGTTTTCATTAATTACATTAAGTAACATTTAACAATCACAGCTCTATAGAAACATTTTAAACTTTCTTGAGAGATAACTTCACCATCTCACCTTAAACATTCATTATTATTGTTGTGTTCTATATTAAAAAAAACAACAAAAAACTGGATATTCATTTGTACCAAAACATTGAGGTTATTTAGCCTAATTTATCAATGTAAAGTATAAAAGGTACTATGTAAGATGAACATATAAAACACAAACAATAACGAGGGTTATAACTAATATTTATACTGACTTGTTGTCATTACAGCATCATTTTGACTTCCCACGGGTTTACATTACAATACCTTATTAACCTTCTAAACCTTTTTTCCCCCCAAGGTGTTAACTTACCCAAGTTGGGACATAAACACATTCTCCCTAAACCACCTTACCTTATTGCTGCCCAATTTGAACCATTGTTTAGTTAGGGCTCAAACTGATTTTTTACATATTTTTTTTTTATTTTGACTAATACAAACCAAACCAAAACTTAATATACACAATCTTTTTTTTTTTAACAGCTAAACCTATTCTTATGAAAAATAATCAATAAAATTGATTTTTCTTTCAGTCTACTCGATGTCAAATGATAACTTTCTAACAACTAGCGTCATCTTGTTCTATCACCCACCTTCATTTCATTCTCCAGTTTAGCCTGCCATTCTGGATCCATGGCAACCTCTGGTGGGGCAAGGGCCGGCATAGCCACAAATTCTAGATTTGGATCTCCAATTAACTTCCTAGCCAACCACAGAAAAGGCTTTTCGAAGTTGTAGTTGCTTTTAGCACTGATGTCATAATACTTTGAACAAAGACAGCGAGAAAGAGTCACAAATTTATTTTATTTTTTCATTAATTAAAATATTTTTAAAAAATTACAGTTAAACCTATAATACTAAGTTTCACAGCTCGTGTTTCTCAGAGATAGTTACACAAAACAGGAAATTAATTTATGGACACCCACATAAATGGAACTATATTCATTTAAAACTCCTAATAAACACTGAACTTACATCAATAATCTTTGCTCTGCTCATGTGACTATAAACTTGTTACTAACAGATGGCTTCTAAAAAGTATAGCAGGTATAGGGCAAGAAATATAAATAATAAAGTAATTTATTGGTATGCTTAATTTATGATTCTATTTTGCATTAATTAATTATTTTTTTTATGAAAGGAGTTATTTAACTGCTCCAATTTTTTATACAACATTTTACTTCAATCAACAGCAGCATGCATAGTAGATTTAAATTTAGTTGTTTACCATATTTTTCAGAATATAAGACGGACCCTTATTTTGAAGACAGTTTTGGGGAAAAAAGCTACAGTTGCATTTTAAAGATTTTTATTGAACAAAAGTTCAATTTGATACTTTAAAAATTAGTATATATTGTCCAAAACACAAAAGAACTCAAAACATCAAAATAAGAAAATACT